TTCTGACGGAAAAGACCAGATACAAAGGGAGCTCATGATTTCCCACAAGATAGAGGTTGGTAGTGGCAAGTGGCACTCACCACACGCGCCATGCGAGGGTCGAATCCCAGATCGGCCCACTCCAAGGCCAACCAAGCCTTCTACCCCCGGGAAGATGGGAACCCGGAACGATAAGAACATTGATTTTCACATGCGCTTGCCTTCGCATGTCCTTATATGGGCCACATCGCTTCCAATAGGCCACTACGACTACGAATGGAAAATGGATGCATGCCGCATCCGAAAAAAGATCCCATCTTCATCGTTCGTGGGGAATGAAGCAGTAAAAGGGGAAGCTTCATCTGGCCTTTTTTCAGAAGCCGTGCCTTTTCGGTCTTCCTATTCCCACTGAATATGTCCTTGAAAGCAGCGTTTACCGAAAAATCATGGCCCTATCTTGCCAGAAAGACTTCCCCAGGGAGGCAAAGATGCAAAACATAAACCCATCAGCTTTTTTAGTGGAACATCTTTCAAGGAACCAGGCAAATTCAGGCAGTTTAGCCTACTGTCATGCCCAAACTTGTGTAGGGGCGAATTCCGCAAGGCGGATATCGCACACGACACCGCTTGCAACGCCGCGGTGGTGGGCTGCACTCGAATTATTTGCCTCACACCCGAAAGGTGTGGGTTAACGATGAGGGAAGCGCAAGTCGTAGGGGTTGCAAGCATCAAAATGAGTGACTTTAGTGGTGGGCCAAATGCGGAAAGTATGATTAAAGGCAGTTGGCACGATAAATCCCCCAAGACGACTAGGATCAATACTCCTGGCAGGATAGAATTCCGCGACCCTGGGCAGGCGCTGCATAGCGGTTTCCCCGAGGAAGGTGCCCTTATAAGGGCCCTATCAAGCCACAACTTTACGTCCCAAACGCCCGCCCGCCCACAAATGGACGACCGTTCCTGACGCTCGTATTCATTCATTTGCTGAGCAAATTATGAAGCAAAGGGATTGGTATGAAGCGGCCGTGATGCTGCATGCATACATGGGTACATATGCAGCCGTATCTTCGGTAGCGGTGATTGGTAAGATGCCTACGGGAAACTCGTCCGAAATCGGTTTTTCAAGTCACTGAGAACGGAGGCTTTTTCTTCGCAGGATTTTGACCGTTTCACTCCGTTCTTTCGCCATTTCCCCACTATACAGCGCCCTACTAGCATTTTAGGCTAAGTAGGAAACCATCGTGCCAACTGCCTTTAAAAGTACAAATATTTCTAACTACTCTTTGTGGCTGAGGCTTAGGAGCCTCGTAATCGATTTGGCTACATTTCCAAGCACATGAGTATTGATTCACCAGTCCTGGAAGCACGAGGGTCTCACTACCATAAGCATTTAAGCATATTCTTGTGGGAAAGTGTGACTATCCAGAGCTGCTTGCAGGCAATTGTCCCTCCCTGCTTGCTGAGGGCTATATGGTAGAGGGCTGTTGAGTAGTGGGACTAGTTTGTACTGCTGGATTTTTTCCAATAGCGATGCAAACCCTCTCACAATGAAAGACATATGTGATGGGAACAAAATCCCTGTACGGGATGCGAAAAAGTCCAGGGGCAGGAATTAAAGCCCCTCGAAAACATTTCCCTGTAATTGCCACAGGACCAGCTCCCTGCCCATTTTTTTTTGTAAGTTCTGAAAGCGTTGTATATGGTTTCATGTATTCTAAATTCCGCGGCCCGTGGAGGTGATGAAGACCCCAGCGAAACTCCTTTCACCACGGTTTCTCTTTGTTTTCACTTGATTACCCTTTAGCTGTTTCCTTTCATACTGCCTGCACAATAAAGGGGCGTAAATTTGAACTCGTTTAGCGTTGATAAACCTTTTGATAAACCTTTCTCAGAAAGCGTATGGAATTCCTTTATATCAGAACCGTAGTGGAATTTTGGGTGCTGTATAGTTTTTATGGACGGCTAAAGGCAG